CTGGGAGGTTTAATTCTACAGGGAAACAATGATGTCTGAGCTGGAGCTGAGTATTAACACCATTTCTTTCATCATTGACTCCACAGTTAATCATTTATGCCTTGCATTGTCAAAATACCACCCATCAGGGTCCAAAATGACGCTTAAAATATCTAACTTCATCTGACAAAAAGCCCAGTTTTTTATTTTGTAATACGGACAAACTGTAAGCAAAACACACATCTGAGAATCTATAAAATGTGCAAATATTTGTAGAAAAACAACATGATTTGGAAAAAAAACAACATCAAACTAAGGTGTTTTAGTGGGTGCCGTGCTCTTTATGAAAGCGACCTGAAAACACTAGTGTAGACACGTCATTTTCACACGTAAACAGATTTAGCTTGCTTAATGTGGACAGAATCTCAGTGGGTGGATGCAGATTTTCACTCTCTCCACAGGAAGCTTTGATACTCACCACATTTGATTCTAAATATATCATCCACGAGTCCTTCATAGACAACTTGTGAGCACAGGGGAGTGACAAAGTCAACATCTGCAAAGAGAATGATGAAGTTAGAGAGGAAAGAAAGCACAGCTCTGTACGTCATCCACTCAGAGGATATGTGGCCTCTTACCTCTGTCAATAAGAAAAACCTGTCCTATTTCAGCATGTCGAGCTTTTTGTTCTCCCTCTTCGACCTGCTCCCTCCAAGACTCGTACGCCATCTGGAACCCAGACAGGCGGACAGAGTTAGTGAGGGTGCAATCCTTCATTATGCAGTTCAACACAAAAAACAACAGCAGAAACCTAATCGTTAAAGACATCACAGTGGATGTGAAAGTCCGGCTTGGTCTCTGATCATACTGCACCTTGGAACATCGTCCAATCCCGTAGACCTTTGAGAACGGGCCGTAGAGGGAGTGAACGAGGTGGAGGGCACTGCCGGCTGTCCTCACCCAGCGCTGGTCCTCCGCCTGTACGACGGCGATGATTTACACCATGATGCATTTGTTCTGGTACTTGGGTGCTACAGTATGTGCTACAATTACATTTTACTTCCTTATACGGTGGTTCAAATTGCAATAAGTGCTAAAACGATTAATCAGTAGCATTTTCTCACTAGTTATCAAAATTATCTGTTAATTGACTAAATAATCAATCGACTAATCAGTTCAGCTCTATTTCAGAACCTGTAAGTAACTTTATATTTACCAGGAAGTTGTCTCGGAAGAATTCGGGCAGCTCCAGACTGATGATGTCATCGTCAAGTGGAAGAAGGTAGAAAGCCCATTCATCAGTGGTCACATCTGTGAGGAGGCAAAAACAAGTTCACCAACACTGATCACTGCTACTAAAACAAGACGTGAAGGAGCGAGGATGCTTACCACCAAAGATCCCCTGCTCCTCCAGCACCGCCTCACACGCAAAGAACTGGGCGACAACGGGAGGGTCAGCAGGTAAATATCAACAACAAATCAAAGCAGAGTGTGTACACAACAGCAGAGCGGGAAATACCTTCTGAGGGGTAAAGATTATCTTGTATCTCCTAAATTTTCCTACTGCCTTGTCTGCATTGACCACATCTGGAACAAGAAGGTATATTGCATTAAATGCACCTGAAATTATTTAGTAGTGTCATTGTGCAGAATTCATGGAACACAAGAGCAATTTAATAACTAAGTCACTACATGTAGGGCCGGGTATCAGGGGAAATTTCTGATACAAGTGCAGATTTAATAAATTAGTTTTGGTACCAAAAACAATATTTTATAATAAAAAAATATTGTTTTATTGTTTCAGTTTCATTAAACGTTTTATGGAAAGTTAATTTAATGATAACTATCATCACATTCATTAAAACAAGTAACAATCCAAATCTACTTACCACATATCCATTTTACAGTTTGTATTCTTGGCCGGATCAGAAAACAGAGCCTAAAATAGAGAAATGCCAAATTATCGTGTGTAAGTGTGTGTAAAATTATGTTAGGAGTGTGAATGGTGCAGGGCTTACTGATCTGAGGTGCTGACAATAGGTTTGTCTTCCACTTTGTAGAGTTTGTCGACTTCATGTTGCTGTAAAAAAAAAAGGGGGTGGGGGGACAAGATGTTTGAAAAAGATATTGGAACTGCAGTTTTTCCTCAAGAGTTTCTCAATCTCAAGAGTTATAGTTGATGTGGTTCACCTTTAGTGTTGACACATTAGCAATACGATCCAGAGGGCTCATCAAGTCTGGCTCAATGAAGAGGTCCTTCTTCCCCGGCAGCTGTGTGACCAAGAGAAGACGGAAGAGTGAACACAAAGTCTATAACAATCTACCCAACAGCAAAGACACACAATATGCTTTCTGCTGTTCGCAACAGAAACAGGATCATTTGAGACTTGTAACACTGTTGTTATTTTGAGTTACATACTGTCAACAAATCCCACGAATAGACTATAACTTAGTATGTCTTAAACCGTCTCTCAATACTTCCCTGCCCTGTTTGTGGCCCATTGGTGTGAAGGGATTTTCCTTCTTTAGGCTAAAGATAATATGACACCGTGTTTCCCCAGGTGTCCGTCTTCAGATTCTTCACATTTGGATTGGCACTCCACTGTGTTATCCCCTTTGTACTGATTTTGCCATTCTCCTCGGCCAAGCTTCAACAACTACTTCTGCTAAAAAAAACATCCTGAGCTCCCTGAAACCTTCTACATTAATAGAGTTGACCGGCTCACAAGATTTTCCTACTAAATTTTCCTACTAAATATTTAAAAATGGGTCAGAAATACATAGTTATAAAAGGCAAAGCAATTTCCTAAAACAGCTGGGCACTGTAATTTTTTGCAAACGTTATTCAAAAGGGAGTCAATCGTGTATTTGTAGGGGACTACTGCTACGGTTTAACACATTTGGTGCTCTAGTGTGTATTTATGGCAGCAGGATGGTGTTTGTGCCACTACATTGACTCTGTTAGTGGTGACATCAGTGGGGCATCATCTTTGAAGTGAAAGATGTAGCCACCGTGACGTCACCCACTACTTTGTAGACCACCATTTTAAAGTCTTGAGTGAGTTCGGCTAAATGACTGTGGCCATTTTGGTTTTTTGGAACCAGAAGTGACCATATTTACGAGAGGGCGGAGCTGTGGAAAGATACGCTGACAGGTCACCTTGGTAGTGACTTGTCAATTACAAGGTAGCCACACTTTATTGCATACCCTGCTTTGTCATCTGTTTTACTCTAAATGGGACCCTAAATCATCATGCTGTATTGAAGAAAATGTGAAACTACCGAATGAGACCGTAAAATCATTAGAAGATGAGAATAATGCTCATTTTGTCATAGAATTCTATGCGATTGGACTTTTTTTCAACCAGTGTAGTCGTCCCCTGCTGGAAATTAGAAGGAATTCAGGTTTAAAGGTTCAGTGTGTACGTTTTAGTGACATCTAGTTGTGAGGGTTGCGAATTGCAACCAATGGCACAGTCACCGCTCACTCCTCCCTTTGCAAGCGCGTAGGAGAAGCTGGGTCTCTCCATTTGTCCAAATTTCACATCTCTTCTTACTTCGAACAAACCAGACTACAACGACTACCACCACTACTACTAATTCTTCTTCTTTGCATATATTCAACGTAGTGACGAAACACGCTCTGTAGAGCAGTTTGTCTGTTTGGGCTACTGTAGAAACATGGCGCCGCAACAATGGCGACTTCCATGTGAGAGGAATCATTTTAAGGTAATAAAAACATATCAGTTCATTGTGTAAGGTCTTTATACACCACTGAAAACACAGTTATGGACATTTTATTGCTATTTTGGGGCGACATTATATTGCTCTTTTGGGGCGAAGAAGGTTGTGGGTTCAAGCCCTGGTTGCCCCGGCCTTTCTGTGTGGAGTTTGCATGTTCTCCCCATGTCTGCGTGGGTTCACTCTCTCCGGCCTCCTCCCACCGTCCAAAGACATGCGGCCTAGGTTGATTGGTTTCCCCTAACTTGTCCTTAGGTGTGAGCGTGAGGGGTTGTTTGTCTATGTGTGGCCCTGCGATGGACTGGCGACCTGTCCAGGGTGTACCCCGCCTTTCGCCCCATGGCAGCTGGGATTGGCTCCAGCCCCCCCGCGACCCTGTACGCAGGATAAGCGGTTGACGATGGATGGATGGATATTGCTCTTTTGTCAATAGATCTTCCTAAATATTACACATTGGACCTTTAAGGCATCTGCATTGGCTTCACTTTTCAGACCCAGAGGTTCCCCCAAGCTTCGCACATAGTCCCAGCAAAAGTATCCCTTATTTTTCTGTTTTTGGTCACTGACAGTTGTATATTCAGATCATGCCCTATGTTTAAAACACTAAGCGATTTATACATGCCAGTCATTTTACTAGTGGTATGTCTGCTGTAGGAGCCAGTTGGCAGCCGGCCAAGCCAAACTAAAAATATACATAGTATGACTACCTGTTCCAGAAGGTAGATGAGCTGATCTCGGGCCAGTCTCTTGAGCAGAGAGAAGTCAGGGAGCTCCGGGGAGTCTCTCCTCGCACTGTGAGCCATGCTGAGCCACAACGGGAGCAGGACAACTCATCAACTGCACACAGAAAAAAATAACTCATTTAACGTTACAACCCCAGAAACAGAGCATGCAATGACGGAGAGACTACAGCCAACAGAAACACACAGGAGAGGCAAACAGCTGTGCTGTGGTTAACCTACTACTAGCTACGTTAGCTTGTTGGCTAAAAACACATTCTTCACATCACACGAATATTCAAGTCAAAAACTAGCGTGAAAAATGCTGACACTAACATGGATATAGATTTCACAAACATGTTCAATAAATAGCAGCTGTTAAGCAATGAATATATGTCAAAACACTAGCAAAAGGGCGTTTCGCTGATAATGGAAGATACCTGCTTCCGTAGCTAAATAAGCGGAATTGATCCTATCAGCAGCTGTTTCCCCCCGGACACCATAAGTAACGGACTGCTACACTTTCAGAGGAGAGACGTTGGACTCAGAAACCTGACGCACTTTTTCTGTCACTAAATTTTTTTTTCCACCATGAATTCAGACGCAGTTTTATTGTTAGAGACTGTTCATTTCGCCGCAGAGAAACATCGTAACCAACGACGTAAAGACTCAGAAGGAACGCCGTACATTAATCACCCCATCGGTAGGTAGGAGTCTGTTTTTATTTTGTTTCCTGCTGCTGCCAAGCGGTGCTGCTCGGAAATCTTCAGTCACTGATCAAATTTTGAACTAGTTTGACCATGTAGGATTTAAAAATAGTTTCTGATGTTTAACTTTTCGTATCAAATGGCTGTGACACTTGCTGAGGCATTGGAAGGAGGGAGAATAAAATCAATGTTGGAATAATAATAATTTAATTCTAGTTATTAGAGTTAGACTAATAAATCGCAATATGTGTCAAGTGCAGTGTGATAAAACAGTATTATAATGAAGTACTGTGGCCTGCAGTGATGCCCTGCCCATGAATCTAATTTTCAAGATGTAAGAATACTTACAAAAGGTTTATTTGGTACAGACCACAAAAAATGTCGCATCATAGTGATTTTAAAAATGGAAAATGAAAATGAAAATTGTGATACAAAAAGGATTATTCCCATTATAATTTTGATTTGATCATATCGCAAATAGTAATATCTGTCAAAATAATCGCCTTATGAGTTTTTTTTTTTACCATGTCATGCAGTCCTAGGCTGATATTGGCTTATTGCCAATAAGTACATGGCAGCAGTTTTAATGCTACCCACAGAACAAACACACACGTACAGTATAAGATATGGTGAGGATGAATTAAGGAGTCTCACAGCCTGAGGGAAGAAGTTGTCTGCTGTGTATTTCAGTATCTATGTGTTTATGTTGGCCGATAAGTAACAAAAAATGCCAAACTAGGTTTAAGTATTAAAAAAAACAGTGTCTCTGTTATATATTTTGTCTACAAGAGAGCACTGATTTATTGTTGTAAAATGTTCCTCTCTTTATAAAGCTCGGTCACAATTCTTGAAAAAAATAAAAATAATCTGAGGGATCTGTATCAATGTTGTTGTTTATGTTTAAAAAACATTCACATTTTTAAAACTTACAAATATTGATATCGTATTGGCCTCTAAAAATGCAATCAGTTGGGCTAAAATAATTATGGTTATATATGTTGACATTTAAATTTTACCCATTCATTCCCAAATAAAAGCTGGTATTTAGTCATTAAAGTGGTGATTACAACACAGTCCAAATAACAAATACCACATTGATTTGTTTAAGGACTTTAATGAATGTTTGCTGATGATGCCAAAAAGTATTTGATCACAAACCACACCATTAAAAGAAAGAACTAATGAAGAAATAGTTTGAGTTGCAAGAGGATTTCAACTTAATAAGCTTTCATAAAATAGTAAACGTTAAAGTGAAATTTATTATGAATGCTCCATGTGCATTAGCCTGTAATCCTGATGTTTCAATAAGATGTTCTTGTTGACGTTTCTCTCTCTGGTAATCACAGCTCTGTGTATATCCTTTTAAGGAGTAGCAAGAATCCTCAGCTATGAAGGAGGCATCACAGATATCGAGGTTTTGCAAGTATGTTATCAGTTAGTTACTGTTAAGTGAGACTGTGAAGGACCGTGTTTCTTTACTAAGCCTGTGTGTTGTCTTTGTGTTGCAGGCTGCCGTGCTTCATGACACGGTGGAGGACACGGACACCACGCCTGCAGAGCTCGAAGCCAAGTTTGGACCGATCGTGGCTCGTATCGTTCAGGAGGTGACGGATGACAAAAGCCTGCCCAAACAGGAGAGGAAGCGTCAGCAGGTGGAACACGCGGCTCATTGCAGCCGCCAAGCAAAACTGGTCAAACTGGCTGATAAACTGTACAACCTGAGGGACCTGAACCGCTGCACACCTGTTGGTCAGCCCCTCTCTCTCACTGTCACTGCTCTTATACTGTAACTGAGCCGCTTGTGGGAGTGTTTTCATTTTTAGGACTTATTTATTGTGTATGGCATTAAACATTTATGTGAAATGATATTATAATATATTATAAAGTACATTCATTGTACAGTAATTACACATTGCAATGTGAAACTTATAATAAAATAATGCATTAATCATTTCAATATAGGCACATCTATCTATCTAGATAGATAATTTTTTATTTTAAGAAAGACTATAATAATTTCCTGAAAGAGCTGGGCATTGTAGTTTAGAACAAACGTTACTCAAACGCAAGTACAAAATGCAATTGTGGGGAGCTTTTTTCAGCTATATTGGGTTTTAGCTACACAGGAAATACTTGTTAATGAGTTCAATTCATTGTTGGTTTTGGTCTCCACAGTGGATTTCTCAACTGTAAGACAAAAACCTAAAACATAACTGTAAAACATATTGCCTGTTTGAGTACACACAATAAAGTGTACCCAAAAACAAAAGTACTAATTTAGGAAAGAGGGTTGAATTATACATGTGGTAAACTGTCTAACTGCTATTCCATGGACTCTGATAAAACTAATCTAACTTACCCTGTAAGGACAAAAGTAGCTACAGTTTTCAGGTAAATGTAGTGGAGTGAAACCTCAACAGTTCCCATTGAAGCACTGGTAGTAGATTCTCCTAAAATAGAAATACGCAAGTACCAATATTTAATGTACTTGGTTACCATACATTGTCCCTCTCCCCTGTGTGTTTGGTAGGTTGGACAAATGAGCGGGTCCAGGAGTATTTTGTGTGGGCTTGTGAGGTGGTGAAAAGCCTGAAAGGAACCAACTCAGCTCTGGAGGAGAAGCTGGGGGAGCTGTTCAGACAGAGAGGAGTCCGGCTCTGACAACACGGTGGAAAACAGACTATTACAAATTAAATTAAATTTGAATTCGTAATAAATTATACAAATACATCATATTTCATGTGTGTGGTCTTTTAATTAATGTCTTCATGTTTTGATTGTATAGTTACATTGAGGGAACACTGAGTTTGCTGTAGTGACATCAGGAAGTTTAATACACAGGTGTTAATAGTGTTAGGGTTAGAAGTTATCAGCTAAAGGATGTCAAACTGCTGAGTTTGCTTCCTGTAGAAAGAAACACACACAGAGTCAATCACTCTTTCACGGTAATCACTGATTCTTTATCTGACATTGTGGAGGTTAAAAACTCAATATGTAATCAGAGTTTGCAGGATTGAAAGTCACATGGCAAACAGCATGATACTAAGCAAGTACCGTATGTGTACACATACAAGGTTTTTGACTCTTTTTATTTATTTTTTTTAAGTTGCACTCAGTGTTTAATTTCCAGGAAGACAAAAATAGACGTACAGCTAAAAACAAGGTCGAGTAAGCTGAACAAAGAGAGGTAAAAACTATTATGCAAATACAAGTAGGTGTAAATATGCAAGGACCAACAACATACATTGACTATATGTCACATGCCTTTGGCGTGAGACACCCGGGTTTGATTCCCACTGCGACACATCCACCAATGTGTCTCTAAGCAAGACACTTAACCCCTATTTGCGGCAGACGCTTACGACCTCTGACATATTTATCAATTGTAGTGTTGTGTGTTCCGTAGACTGTAAACAAATACAAGTAGTGCTAAGGAGTATATCCGAAGTACTAGATAATATGCATGAGGTCTATTTATAGTATATGCACTCCTAATGGACATTGTGCTATTGAGATGGAGGTGGCGTAGTAGCAAGTAGGAGTAAAATAGGTGTATATACAATAACCAACAACCTACATGTCTAAATATATGTCACTCACATGCCTCTGGTGTGTGAGACGCAGGTTCAGTTCCCACTGCGACACATCCACCAAAGTGCCCCTGAGCAAGACACTTTGGATAAAAGCATCAGCTAAGTTGTTATTATTATTATTATTATTATTATTGTTGCTATTATTCCTTGAAATTAATTCCAGTCGTTAACCACTAGAGGGTATTTTACTGATGAACTGCAGAAAATCTACATTAAAAAGCTTCACTCAGATCCACCCTTTAACTTGATGTTTATGTCAGAAACGAATGCTTCTGGTGATAAAATGGTCTAAAACGTCAGTAAGATGTGTTTTTGTTTTAAGTAGTGTGTAACTCTTGATGGGAGGAAGTGTTTGCTCAGAAAAAGTCTACTTCCGGTCCGCTCTCTCCTTAGTGAGTTCAACTTCCGTTTCATAGAAGCGACCACTAGCTCGTTTTGTCCGAGTAAAATAGTTGTTGTTTTTTTTTACCTTGAGCTGTTGATACCGTCGACCGGGCAGTCATGTCTAGTCGCGAACACCACGACCTCAACATGAAGCTCCCTCCGATCCAGTCCACGGCCGGAGCCGTGCCGGTCCGGAATGAGAAAGGTGAGAAGTAGCTGTTGTTAGCTAGCAGGCGGCTAGCGGCGTGCTAAGTTAGCCAGCTAGCTTAGCGGAACGTAACTTCATACCAACAAAAACAACTCTGCACAGTCAGTCTGAAAGTATTACTTACTATTATTACTACTTTAGCTGACTTTAAAAAAAATAGCTGCAGACATTACCTGCGTGCTGCAGAAGCATGTTGATGATGTAGGTTTGGGAACGAGGTCAATAATCATTTATGGAGGAGATGTTTTGGGGGTCCACAAACTTCTGCTCATTCGTGTAGATGGAGGAGCAAAAGTGCTTCAAGAAACCCCACAGGAGCCAGTACAACAACACTAACTTTGGTTGAATCCACTCCTCTAGTCAATTTTACAGGGGTTTCTTGTTTTTCTGGTCATTTACTGTTCAGTAATGTTAATATAACAGGATCGGATCTCAGCAACGACTTTAAGGAAATGTAATTGACAGTTAAACAACCATAGACTTGAATATGAAGATTTACTGATTAATATGCAGTCTATGGTAACAACACAAATTATTGTGTAAAAACCAACTGAGTCTCTTAGCAAAACACATCAATATAAATTATTTCCCCCTACTCTTTCCCAGAGCACAAGGTAAATTAATTGCTTGTTTTGATGAACCAACTATTCAAAATTCACAGATAATTATATGTAAAACGATTAGTTGACTATCAAAAACATTTTAGATACTTTTTCTGATTTATTCAACACCTAACATTTCAGCTCTATTGGATTTTAGTATGTGCTCAAAAACCTAATGAGAGCATCGCAAATAGGAAGAAAACACGCTGAATAATAAGGAGTCATTGTCTTTATAACTCTGTATCAAATGTAATATTATAAACAAAAAAGTTAATATTTTTAGCAGAGCTGATGAATAATTCTTAATTAAGGTATTTTAATGAAAACCCAAGTAGATTCAAGCAAACATCTGGACCTTCAGCATCACTGGGTGGGAACGCCTAGCTCGACTAAGCTCATTTTTGTTTCTGCATATCTCAGGTGAGCTCTCCATGGAGAAGGTGAAGGTAAAAAGGTATGTGTCGGGTAAACGTCCCGACTATGCGCCAATGGAGTCGTCGGATGAGGAGGAAGAGGACTTCCAGTTTGTGAAGAAGGGAAAGGAAATGGAGCCAGAGGTAGAGCTGGAGGAAGAGGTGGTTTCTGATCCACGTCTCAAACGTTTGCTCAACCGTGTCTCTGAGGACGTGGAGGAGAGGTATGACACTACTCTTTAGATTTGATTTGATTGATAATGACTATTACAGTTTGTGGTGCTGAAATGCTTATTTGACCACGTTGCTTCCCGTTTTGATTTTTGTCCTCAGGCTTGCGAGACACAGACAGATCGCAGAGCCTGAAGTCGTGGTTGAGAGCAGCGAGGACTCTGATGAAGGAACTTGGCACCCAGAGCGTGAGGAGAGCAGTGAGGAAGAAGAGGAAGAGGAGGAAGAGGAAGAAGTGGATGATGAGGTTGCTATCTTTGCTGTGTTCTGAGTGTGCTTTTCCCCTTGTCACTTAAGAATATCTTTGTGTCTTTTTTTTATTAGTTATTTTAAGTGTGGACTTTCTCATTCTGTGTAGGAAATTGAAAGGAGACGAGCGATGATGCGGCAGCGAGCTGTTGAACGAAAGAACGAGGAGATGGAGGTCATGGAGGTGGAGGAGGAGGTGAAGTCGGGGGAGGAGTCCGAGTCCGAGTCTGAATATGAAGAATACACAGACAGCGAGGATGAAGCAGAACCACGGCTCAAACCTGTGTTCATTCGCAAGTATGAACTGAAACAACTGCAAATGTTTCTCAAAACAAATGCACCTTAATCCATAAATGTTCTGGCAACTTTCTTTGTTGATGTCATGTGGGGGGGCAACAGGTTTCTGTGTAAGATGCTCATGCAGTTTGCAGTTTAGATCAGGGCTCTCACTACAGCTCCAGTGAAAATAAAATAAGTAACATCCCTATATCATGCAAGATAACAACATTCCTGTATATATATATTTTAAATAGAGTAAGATATATATGAGAGAAACGATATTATGGTACCCTGCATTGTCTAGTTTAACAGGACAGACATGTTCCATCCGAGCATTGCTTTATTTATTTAGAACAAGCATGCCGTGTGCGTTAAGTTATTTCTAAGTAGAAATGTCTACATGTGAATACAAAAAATCTCCTAACTGTAGATTAGTGCAGGGACTCTTAACTTTTCTATCAGTCCGACCCTTTTTGAAGTTGAAAATATTTCGCGACCCCCGCAGATGGGACAGAATACATATTTTGCAGTGAGAGGCGACTCGTGCCCGACATCATTCGTGTTTTTTTTCCCCATTGTCCAATCTAATGAATGGAGACACGGGCCCTCAGTTGTGCTGACTGAAGTTTACAGTTGCTTGGATTGTCCGGAGACTGCGACGAACTGTCCCAGACTCATCCTAAAATAAGCCTTAAACCATCATTAAGACGAAGCCCCTGGACCAACTGGAAGGCTACTACCAGCGGTGCCCACACGGATCTCCCTTTCTCTGTCTTGCGCGTGTTTGTACACCTCACACGCTCAAAACAGTGCCAGAGAAGGCGTCCTCTGTTTGTCTGTTTTTTTTTTTTTTAAAGCAGATGTTTTTAGAAACAAAAGACACAAACCTGTGAGTTGTGATCAGGTTTCTGCTAATATGACTGTTATTACTCAGCGGCAAACCAAAGGTTACACATGTTGGCGCTATAATCTTTGATTAGACTGATAGGACAGCTGATTCGGTGGTTGCCTAGCAACATAAAAAAAAAATCAACCAAAAAAGTCATTGCTGTGCGCCTCGCTTTTTTGAACCTGCAAAGCGCTTTCTGTCTGATCGGGGCCTGATTCTTCTTTGTTCTTTTATAGCGCCACCTACTGGATTAAACAGCTCAAAATATTTAGTGTCCACCCAAAGTGATACCAATAACAACTATAGTCCGTCTAGTTACTTAACTTAAAAATAACTAGACTAGGCTTAGTAGCCAGTGGTTCTTAACCTGGGGGTCAGAATAAAAAAGATTATTCCATTTCACATTGCTCCATTTAAATAGTTTTTAGGGGCCCCTGAAGGGTGAAATTGTCAAGTATTTCAAAGCAAAAAGCAGAAATTACATACAATTCAAATTGTTTAAGTCTAATTTTGTGAAAGAGAAATATGTTATTGTTATAAGAAATATAGCTGTTTAGATCCATCCATTGTCAACCGCATAGCCTGCGTACAGGGTCGCGGGGGGGCTGGAGCATATCCCAGCTGACATTGGGCGAAAGGTGAGGTCCACCCTGGACAGGTCGCTAGTTAGCTGTTTAGATATTATTGGGTATTTTCTTAATGATGATAAAACATTTAAATTTAATAAAACAACATTTACAAGCTACACTGGGCAAGTAGCTCTAGTGTAAAGCAGGTACAATTCTGGTCTGATTTGGTCAGTCTTAGGGCTGGACGAAAAGTTTGACTTACTGAAGTTACTCACCTATTCGTAGTATATACACTGGATGGAAAATAGGATGTTTGAT